AGAAAAAGACATATACAAAATCGCTAAAGTGAGAAATACCCTCCAAAAAAAAATATTGTATAAACTAAAAAAATTGACTAAGTAAAAATGCGTAGCGTATTTGCTTTTTTTATACTAAATAATATTACTGTATTTACAGTATTTGCGGAGATATATACAGTATAATTAAAGTAAATTAAAGTATATTAAATTATGTAACTTGTATTTCTGTATTTACAGTAAAGTCATAAAAGGTATTTTAAATTATGCCATTCTCAGAGTACTAAACACCAAAACTGGTTACGGTGACTGCATCGTTCTTTGTTGTCTAGCTCGCGTCCTCTATAACACGTGATTTAGATCTTGATATTAACTTTAAAAACTTATTAGGCAATTCCAGGTCTTCAGTCTGGTTTAGTAAAGATCATGTGTAGATGATCTAAAATCGATCAAATTTTTTGATACTGTATGTTCCAATTGCATTACAAAATAAATATTTAAAAATTAGAAAATAACTAGCTGAAAACCCGTTGTATTGACAGGATTTTAAACTTCAGCGAATTTATGTGATAATTGACGCATCATCTAAATGTATACGTAGTAAGTACGTACATACGTTCGCAAACAATGCCCCAGTTAGTGGCTTAAAATTTTTCAACTTCCAGACCACCAAGAAGGCTTAGAGATCAAATCAATTTATCCATAAAGATAAAAGATATAATTTTGATCAAAAAAAGAATATAAACATAATAAACTGGCAAGATGTAACTTGCCGCTTCTATTGATAACTTTGTTACACTGCTTATTTATGTGGGAAATCTTTGAACACAACGACGATCACTGAACTATCACTACGTATTTTACTAAACAATATTACATTCTACCACGTGTAATTTTGATTTCAAATCACATATAAATGTGACCGGTAAAATATATCATTCTTACTTTTCCATTATTTAGAAAAGTAATATTTAGAAAGTAATATTTAGAAAGTAATGTTTAAAAAGTAATGTTCTAAAAGTAATGTTTAATTATATTATTTAATGGTTCAAAAAAAGGTTTCTTGAATTTGATTAACAATTTTCCTTTTGTTACGAACGTGTCACCAGTGGAAGTTGAACATATAAAAGATACTGAGCTTAATATAGCAAAGAGACCAGGCATTGGCACCCTCGGAACAACTATCCAATATAAGTGCAATTACTATAAGATAACGAGGGTGATTATCTCTATTTTTTGTTCATCACGGTATGTTTGATGTAAGCACATAATGTGAATATGTGAATCATATTCGAGAACATTATAGTTTCCGGATGTTACCATAAATCATTACGGTTTCGACATTACCCCCAAAGCAAATAAAGATACAATCGCGTATGTTTACGATAAACTAGCTTATCAAAATGGGTTTAATGCCGTTTTTGATGGTAACACCTCGATTTATTCGGCAACTCCTTTAACTCTTGAGAATGAGAGGGGTGGAAACCATTTTGAGGTAAAAAAAATGTTTTCGATTAAAATTTCCGTTGTAGTTTTTTGTGCTCAAAAAATCATTACTGCTAAAATTTGTTTCTTTCGCGACTAGTTACATGTATCACAAAATGATGATTATAGAGTTCGCAATGGATCTTATAAAGTTATAATCCGTTTTATTCAAGAACTTTCTTTCGATGAACTTCAAAAATTTGTCACAGGAAGCATTGCTTCCGTCGGTGAAGTGATTAAGTGTATAATGGCATTAAACACGTATATCAATTTTACTGTTCGCCGTAATTATCCTGCCATCGGGAGAAGTATTTTTCCACATTCACGGCAAGTTGTCTGTCCTGATCTTAACTTAAATCCAATCGTTCTTCCTGGTGCATTTGAATTAAGACTAGGATTTTATCAATCATTACGTCCCGTATGGAGTAAATATCAAATTTTTTTTAATATTAAAATATGATGTCATGAGCAATGCTCTAATTAATTTTTATAATTTTTCGTCATAGATTCCTTGGCAATAAATGTGGATGTTTGCGCAAGTGTATTTTATTTAGGAGGCCCCTTCTTGGAAGTGATAGCAAGGTTACTTAATAAACATAATATAGACGAATTCCGGCAAGGGCTATCGTCACGTGAATGGACGACATTAGCAAAAGTTTGTTGTCTATTATTATATTCATAATATTGGATAAATTTTTAAACGTTAATTTATATCAAATTGATAGTTCGTAAGACGTCTAAAAATACGCACTATTCATCGTGGCCAACGTAGGCCTGTGTACATTGTTCGAAAATTATCAACTGAACCCGCCGATCGCCTATATTTCAAAATAAATGAAGCGAAAGTTTCTGTCGCCGAATATTTCTATAGGACTTATAATCGTAGATTAAGTTTTGAAAATTTACCATGCGTTATGGTAAGAAATGATGTATACTTACCACTAGAAGTATGCGACATTTTACCCGGTAAAAATATTGGTTTTCTATCTATATATCGAAAATATCAAAAATATCAAAAATATCAAAAATATTGAAAATATCGAAAATATCGAAAATATTCTTTTAAGACATTATACATTTATCTCTTTTGTGAAAAACATTAGGCCAACGATTCGATGGCCAATTAACTGATTCTACCCACGCAGAAATGATTAAGCATACTTGTATTAAACCTAGTGAGAGGTTTAATCGTATATCAAGAGCAGTTCAAGGTATATTTAAACACAGTAGAGATCAACATATAAATTCTATTGGCATGGACGTTGATAAAGAAAATATGTTAATTGATGGTAATGTTAATGATATCATTTATTTGTGCTATACGCGAATACTATTATGTTTTAACAAATATTATCTAATTAAGGCCGCGTACTTGATCCTCCGACAGTCGAGTATAACTCTAAAAGTGCCAATCAAACTCATGTCCCAAAAGACGGTCGATGGAACCTTTTAAATAAAATAGTTGTTCAAGTACGATTGTAAATTAAATCATTTCTTTTATTAATATTTAATTGACCTACGTATGGTGATGTTTTCAGGGAAAAAGCCTTGAAAATTGGTCGGTGTTAGTTTTTAGTACAAAAGTGCCAGCACCGAGCATTGAACAATTTATGCGACAATTTCGAGAAACTGCTAATCAAAAGGGTTTGGTACGACTATTTCTCAATATAGAATCATTTATTTGTAAAATATGCTATTATACTCACTCTCAAATAATAGAACGTATCAAATAAACCGAAGATATCCTATGCTAATCCCATAGGAAACATTGAACAAGTAAAATCTTTGAATTTATATAGATCTTTTCATATGATTAATGTATATATATATGTGTATATCTTGTATATCTTACTTTTTTTTTCGTTTATAGGCTTTATATCAAGCTTGCTTGGATGCTCGAATCAATAAAGAACTACCTCCGCAACTAGTTTTTTGTATAATGGAACAAACTGGTCCTTTATATGGTGAGATAAAGCGTGTGGGTGATACCATGTTAGGCGTGCCTACCCAAGTTCTCTTGTCAAAACTTATCACCAGGCGGTCAGGACTTGATCAAGTTTGTGCAAATATATCCCTTAAAGTAAATGTAAAATTAGGAGGGAAAGAAACAAATTTTAGCAC